CCTTTACTTATTCTCTAGCTTTGTTATACAGAGTGTCCCAATATATCCTTTACTTATTATCTAGCTTTGTTATACAGAGTGTCCTAATATATCCTTTACTTATTCTCTAGCTTTGTTATACACAGTGTCCCAATATATCCTTTACTTATTCTCTAGCTTTGTTATACAGAGTGTCCCAATATATCCTTTACTTATTCTCTAGCTTTGTTTTACAGAGTGTCCTAATATATCCTTTACTTATTCTTTAGCTTTGTTATACAGAGTGTCCAATATATCCTTTACTTATTCTCTAGCTTTGTTATACAGAGTGTCCAATATATAATTTACTTATTCTCTAACTTTGTAATACAGAGTGTCCCAGTGTATACTTTACTTATTCTCTAGCATTGTTATACAGACTGTCCCAATATATACTTTACTTATTATCTAGCTTTGTTATACAGAGTGTCCCAATATATACTTTACTTATTCTCTAACTTTGTTATATCCATCCTTTCTTGCTGGTTCTTTTGATATACGATTCATGATAATCCTGTTTTTTCGTTCTTCATTCATTTATTCTTAAGCCGGAACTTAATAATCTTTCACGTCAATAAACCCCAATGAATAAAAGCAAAATAAATTTTCTTTAAAAAATGTTTTTTCTATTTTTTAAATTTGTTTAATGAAACAAAAAGAATAGTTGTCTACTGTTCTGGATGGAGGTAATATAATGGATAAACTTCAAATTGGAATTAAATAATTAATTCCTTAAATTGTAATAATTACTTGATGCAAAAATTGTAATGTCTGATTTACAACGGTACCCTTGAAACCTTTATCTGATCATTAATGTGGAAGACATTTTCGTTTTTAAGTTTGAAAAGTGTTTAAATCTGATAATTCCGGTATGCTTTCCTCCAAAAATGCGCAAGCCAGTTTTAGACAAACCTGCAATTGAAAATAATCAGTATTCCTAATTATGAAAATTGATATCTAATTAACATTTGAGCTTTTAAGAGGACCAGTGTAAATCATGCATTGAAATCTTTGCATGGAGGGTCACTTGAAATTCTGCTCCCAGTATGCACATATTTAAGATAGGCTTGAATTCTTTAACTGGTACTTGTAAGCTATTCTTGATAATCAGAAAAGAGAAATTAAACTCTAAAAGTTTTAAGTTTTACTTAAGAGGCCCTTTTAAGCGTTTTCTTAAAATCAATTTGACATATAGTTAAGAAAAGCAAATGCTTTTAAACAAATGGTTTATTTTAATCATTTTTACTTTTTATACACTATGCCAAAAAATATGAGAAATAATATTTTTTTAACCGAAAACGCCCTAATAACGAACCACTATCTTTAGTGTTAAAACGATAGTTTTTTTTGGTTCGTCTTTACACTTTTTTAATGATAAAAATATTAAAAAGTTAAATCAAAGCAAACTTTAACCGAATACTGTTAAAAAAGAACCACTCTGTGTATTCTTACATAAAATATTCCTGTATATTGTTGTAGAGGGATTAACTGGAAGATTATCGAGAAACTAAAAAAAACTATTAAACCTTATTTTAAGATATACTTTGGAATTTTTTCTTCAAGACTTAAAAAAAAAATAATATTTTTACTTTTTCTGCATTCATTAATCATTCATGCAGTACATCATAGGCATATACAAGTTAGAAAACGGATTTTTTATTTTTTATATTTGGACTAAAAGATTTTTTTAAATTCTAAATACAATGCAGTGTTAATTTTCAATTGGAAAAAAGTCAAATTTCATGAAAACAAGTTGTTTTCCGCAAAGGGTAAATTTCCGGAACATTTCTGGAATCTTTCAGAACAAGGTTCCAGAATTATATCAGAAACATCTTAAGCTTGTGTAAAAACTAAAGCCATTAAGTAAGTAAGTAAACTATACATAATGGCATGCACGCATGATTTTTTTTATTTTGAATTCTTTTTTATGTGGGCTCATTTTATCCCATCTAGGGCGTATACGGAGGTGGGGGGAGGATAGTCTATCCTAAAATGGGCCACTTGAAAAGTGAAAACTTTATAAATTGTCAAAAATAAATAAAGCCCNGGAGAGGAATGCTCAAATATTTTAATGGTTTTTGCTCATATTACATATATTTGGTGAAATTTGATATTTTTTTCCAAAAACAGAGGGTCTGAGGAGGTCGGCCCGGCGTCTAAGACTAGGTTTCAGACTCTAAGATTCTACCTGGGTATATTGTAAGATTGACAATTATCAATTGGTATTTGTACGAAACCACATTTTACACATTCTATTGTGACGCATTTAGGATGCCCAGGAAAATTTCTACCATAGCTTAGAATCTTTGTCATTTTTTTATAAAACTAGTTCATAACAGTCTCAATACGTCACAGTCAAAGTACACAATCTCTATCCCCCGTCTCGGATATTAATCTAATTTTTAATCCAAAATTTAGCCGGAATCAACTTTTAAAAAGTGAACATTCCCTTGAAGAATAAATAAGTTATGAAACACCTTTTCCTGGACTTCTTCTTGACACAGAAAACTTTTTTCATCAAATTTTCTTTTTAATTAAATATGAGATCAATTTTACCTTTTCAAATTCTAATCAGTTTCAGTAGCAAATATATTTTCGAAAATATCACGTATCCATTTTGGCTCAAGTAGTGTTGTAAATCGGTTAATCGGTATGGATTTTTTACATTTTTTATACGAACGATAGTTTTGAATTCGTTTTTCAATCTTTTAAGTTTTTTTTAATACGGATTTTTCGTCGAAACCTGTTAATTTATTTATTTAATAAGGATGATCTTTGGTCCAAATAAAACTTTAGTTTTGCCACAAATTAAAAATTTTCAATCTTTTCAACCAGATTTCGGAAACCTAAGTCTAAGTTTGAAATATCAAAGGTTTGCACCATGGCAATAACTCAGTTCATTTCCGCTTTGGTTACACATCCCATTTATATAAAATTATAAAAAAAAAAAACAATAAACATCAGCATTTTATTCAAAGTCCACGATTTAAAAATTTAGGCTCGAGCTGTAATTACTTAAACCTTGGTTGGTTTTAGTGAAGAATAAGGCTCAATGTTGAGTCTTGTTCTCACCAAAACTCGGAATGCGGCAATTCCTACTATGAAAATTCGCCAAATGGAATATTAAACCGTTTTTTTTAAACTCAACTCTGCTTAAAATAAGATGCAGCTTGAATCCATAAGCTCAAGCTTTAACCCGAGCCGTATTTTCCCGAATTTTTTAAATCACGGGCTTCAAAATTGATGCAAAACTTTCCTAGCCCCAGAGGACTAGGGTCAATTTGAATCGGAACCAAAGCGGCCTTAGTGACACGCGGCTAGTCGACCAGGTTAAAATTTAGCGCGGCTAGTCGACCAGGTTAAAATTTAGCGCGGCTAGTCGATCCTGTTAAAATTTAGCGCGGCTAGTCGACCCGGTTAAAATTTAGCACGGCTAGTCGACCCGGTTAAAATTTGATAGCGCGGCCAGAATTTTACAGTATTATCATAAGCCTACTTGATTTACACCACTAGCTTAGTATAGTGTGTAGCTGTCAGGATCTCTACCAAGCCCTACAGCTAGCTAGGGTGCCATATGCAATAGCAGAGGATGACTAAAGGTGACCACATATTATTTCAAACATAATATTCCGTGGTACGCAAAAATCTAACTTTTTAAAAATAAATCAAAGAATTTACAGCATGATTTCTGCAGGTTATTGTGCATACAAGTAATATAGGAAAACTTAAAAATAACTTTTATTAAAAGTTTTAATGTTAAGTGAAAAACGTAAAAATGTTTTTTTTTTTATTTATTTGACAAGAATGTGATTCCTGTTTTTAATTTTTTTTTTCAAGGACTTTTCAAATATTTAAATAATAAAAAATACAATTTCAATATTTAAAGTATAAGTTTCAAGTAACTATGGGGTTACCCACAAAGCATGATATCTTCAGAGAAGACTGTATTGAATTTGTTATTAAATCCCTCATTAAGTGAAATTTGTCTATGTTCACTGTGCTCTTGCTGTGTCCCAATCTCAGTGGACTATTTAAAGTTATAACTTGAGTCTCAAAATCGTCTTCCTATTAGAGTTTTCTGGTTATGACTGTACTACGGTGGTAAGCGATAATACCAATATAATGAAGACGACTTTTGATCTAAATTTTTATTTATATTAAGCTTTCAAATAGCAAGGATACAGAAAACAAGGAAACTAACTTGTAATTCGAAAAAAGCTTGTTAACAATTAAATCTTCAATAAAAAAACGTCTTCGTTATATTTGTATTATCGCCTACCCCAAACTCAACTCGATACATCTAAAGGTTTCTGGTCGTAATTAAAGTCTCCTTCTTTATGGGAAACCCTGTACATCTGAATTCTTAAATATACACATGTTTGAGTTCTATAAAGGTGACATAAATATCTACAAAATTATACATTAAAACTTTTATAACCCTATAACCGGGTGATAAAATATAACTTTCTCGATCCGCTATTAAATAAGATTAGAAAATTGATTATAATTATTTGAAACTACTTTACTGGGAAGTTCAGGGAATTTTACTTACTTTCCAAGGACCAATTTTACTTACAAAACATCCAGAGGAATGTTTATTGTCAAAATTGGTCTAGGAAACCTGTGGTTAAGCAAAATTTTTATTTCACCATAAAAGTAGTTGTACTGTACACAATTTTAGCGTCTTTTGAGAAGAAAATGCGCGATTTATTTTTGCGCAAAGCGGGCCATTAATCGTTGTTTTACTTAATTGTCCCAAGGGATGTAAAGTAACTTAACTTCCCTCTTTTGGGGGGAAATCATATATGTCGGTAATCTTTGTCAAAAGGCGGCACAACTATTCATGTTATTGCAATGGGTATCATACGTGCGCAAAACGTTTTTGCTGGGATTAAAATAGAATAATTTCATTTTGATCTCAAACAAACTTTTTATATAACAGAAAGGCACATTTATATTTTGCCCTCTTAAATGAAATATTCTTCAGTTTTACAACTATATTACAACAGTACATAAAAATAACCAAAATTGTATGTACATTTTTACGTTATATTATAACGTAAATTCTACGAAATTCTGTTACTAGGGAAGCTTCATCTAGTCCTCATGCTGTAGTTGTGTATGATGGTTTTTAGAAGTCCAATGGTCCCCAGACCATCTAGTGTACATGATATTAGGCCAGTATATTAGGTTAAACAGGAGGAACAGGCAGGGTAGCAGAAGACGCGATATCTTTTCAATCTAAACAATTTCAATACTTAGATTAATTTCAAGTGATACATTATTTTATAGGCTGAATTTTGGATATATAAGAGTATCCTTGCCTTGACATTACGTCTCCAGCCTCTTTAAGGTTTAAACTCTATAGTTAGTTATAAATCTCATGATAAGATTAAATATAATTTAGGTAATTGGGGTTTTAAGGGATACCATGTATTTATTTAAAGTTTTTAGAGGCACCCTGTATTTAGTTAAGGTTTTTAGAGACAACCTGTACGTATTTAAGGTTTTAAAGGCACTCTGTAAGGTTTTAAAGACACCTTGTTGGAATTAAATGATTTTAGAGGCACCCTGTAATTATTTGTGGTTTTTAGAAACACCCTGCCAGTATTTGAGGGTTTTAAAAAGACTCTGTAATCATTGAAGGTTTTTAGATACACTCTGTAATTATTTATGGTTTTATAGCCAGCCTGTAACTTGCAAGGCTAGCTGTAAGTATTACCCTGACAGCTAATCTCTTCTTCTTTTTTCTAGAGATGACTGTGACAACAATGAACTCAACCATAGTGCTAAATATTTAATTCTTTTATTAGTAAAATTAATTAAAATTTGTATTCACTAGTCTGGTCTTGTCGGGTCTGAGCAAATCTGGATTGGTCTGATTTGGTCTGATCTGGTCTGATCTGGTCTGATCTGATCTGGTCTGATCTGGTCTGATCTGGTCTGATCTGGTCTGATCTGGTCTGATCTTGGTCTGATCGGGTCTGATCTGGTCTGATCAGGTCTGATCTGGTCTGATCTGGTCTAATCTGGTCTGATCGGGTCTGATCTGGTCTGATCAGGTCTGATCTGGTCTGATCTGGTCTGAATTGGTCTGATCTGGTCTGATCTGGTCTGATCGGGTCTGATTGGGTCTGATCTGGTCTGATCTGGTCTGATCTGGTCTGATCTGGTCTGATCTGGTCTGTTCTGGTCTGATCTGGTCTGGTTTGATCTGGTCTGATCTGGTCTGATCTGGTCTGATCTGGTCTGATCTGGTTTGATCTGGTCTGATCTGGTCTGATCTGGTCTGCTCGGGTCTGGTTAAATTTGGTATGATCTAGGACTAGATTTAATGAATAACAAGAAGTAGCTGAATTACTTTTTCAATTTAAATTCATTAAATCTGGTCCCTATGGTCTGGTCTAATCTGCTCTGGCCTAGAATGATCTGATCTAATCTAAAATGTTGTCTGGTATATTTTCATATTTATCTACTTTCTGCTAGATCCATGTAAGGATGTATCTATGAATGCATATGTACTTATATATCTCTATATATCTTTGTATATATGCATGCACCTGTGTATCTATGTATTTATGTATCTATGTATCTATGTATCTATGTATCTATATATCTATGTATCTATGTATCTATGTGTCTATGTATCTATGTATCTATGTATCTATGTATCTATGTATCTATATATATATATATATGTATCCAAGTATCTATGTATCTATGTATCTATGTATCTATATATCTATGTATCTATGTATCTCTATATGCATTATCTATGCATCTATGTATCTATGGATCTATGTATCTACCTGAAAACGAAAATCATACAAACCAGCATCCAAACATCTAACCAAGTTATGTAGGAAACCTTTGGTACATGCTGCCTAGGAGAATATATAAAAAAAATTAGGGCGCTTCGCAACTTCTCAACATTTCTTCCATTTTTTATATCAATTTCTATGTTTTCCATATAACTGCATAACTGCATATGAAACCATTAAGAACCGCTGCCATAAGATTTGTCAGATCTGGATTTAGACTAATCTTGGCCATAAGAGGGATTATTTACTTATTTGATCTATCAAAAGGAATTTTTCACCTAGTTTGGCATTATTATATGGGTTATTTACTTATTTTTAAATATTATGGGTATTTTTTTACTTATTTTAGATTTATTAAGAGATTTTTCACCCATTTTGGGATTAAAAATAGACTTATTTACTTATTTGGATTTATAAAGTGGATTCTTTTTGGGATTACAAAGGGATTGTTTGACTATTTTGAGATTTTTTAAAAGATGGTGTCCTTATTTTGGGATTACAAAGGGATTGTTTGACTATTTTGAAATTATTATAAAGATGGTTCACCTATTTTGGGATTACAAAGGGATTATTTGACTATTTTGAGATTTTTATAAATATGGTTTCCTTATTTTGGGATTACAAAGGGATTGTTCACCTGGTTGCACTGAACATAGAGGTCTGGGTGAGAATTGTTGTCATTCCCATACCAACCCGTCCAGGGATTATTTCTTTAGGTATAAATAATCCCATCCACGCTAACACCTTAAAACAATAATACAAATAATAATAATATTTAAAATAATGATAATGATAAGGATAATGATAATTATAATGATAAAATAATGATAATGATAAAATCATGATAATGATAAAATCCGAATTTAGGAGACGTGCTCTATGGAAATTCAGATGAGGACTTTGATTTGAGACTGAACAGGTGGGTTTAATCAAAAAAAATTTGACAATTTTTTCCAAATTATTTTTTATCTTTTTTTTATAAAAAAGTAGTAAGGCAATTTTAATAGTTATTAATGATTAATATATAAATAGACAATTATTACAAGATTATTTAGAAAAATAATCAGTATAATTTCCTTAATTCATCCCTATATTCCTAACCCTAACCCTTATCTATGTATAATTATCTAACTACCTATCTATCTATCTATGTATAGCTGATCAGCCAACTAACAAGTATCTGGATTAAACTGCTGGACCAGTATCTATCTATCTATATATCTATCTATCTATATATATATCTATCTATATATTAATAATAATAATGATAATAATAATAATAATAATAATAATAATAATAATAATGATGATTATGATAATAATAACTAATGCTTACCAAAAATACTGTAGAGGGAATGTAGGTTTGAACTAAATGGTATCCTATCTGACGTGTTAAATGAATCTGAAATATAAGAGTAAAAACTTGGAAAAATTAATTTGTTTTAGAAATCAAACATAAATTTGTCAATTTATATTTACTGTAATTAATTATTGAAACTGAATTATTAAGCAGGTAATTAAATATGTACAGTGAACACTAAACAGCATTAATTGTCATACACTTAATTAAATATTTGACGGATTCGACTTTAATATGACTTTAAAATAGTAAAGTGGGCAGAAGTAAAATGACAATCTATGCATGGATCGCAATGCCTGATTCATCTGTATCTAATCAATAAAGTTGATATAGTTGTTATTGTGTTTGATTCTGATGTTCATTTGGTTGCATGCAGTAGAAATGAGCAATTCTCACTTTTGTATAAGAAATCACAATTGAAAATATTCCGTTTTCAACATTATAAACAATGACATCAAATTCATATTTTATCAGACAATAGTTTCAAGGGTACTGTTGTGAATTGTCATATTTGTTACTTGAAATTACGATTACAGTCCCAATTTAAATATTTGAAATTGAAAGAAAATATCAAACTTGCAGGGAGCCATGAATGTAATAAAATAGACTAAAGTCTCATCCCTTGCGTAGAAATAGTAATTGAAATAAAAAGTCGTCTTCATTTTATTTACATATACGAAGACGACCGTGGGAAAAGTTATTACCTGTAACTTTAATCCAGGATACTTTAAATCATAATAATCCGTGGCGTAGGAGTCAATCGCTCGAACCCTTAAAGATGAAAGAATAAAAATTAATTTAACCAGAATTGAGAAGTAATATAGAACCATTACAGAAGTAGTTAAACCAGTTGAGAAGTAGTTAAACCAGTTGAGAAGTAGATAAACCAGTTGAAAGGTAGTTGAACTAATTGAGAGAAGTAGTTAAACCAGATGAAAAGTAGTTAAACCAGTTGAGAAGTAGTTGAACCAATTGAGAAGTAATTGAACTAGTTGGGAAACAGTTTAACTAATTAAGAAGTAGTCGAACCAGTTCAGAAGTAGTTTAACCAGTTCAGAAGTAGTTTAACCAGTTCAGAAGTAGTTGAACTATTTGAGAAGCAGTTTAACAAGTGAGTAGTAGTTGAACCAGTTAAGAAGTAGTTGAACCAGTTAAAAAGAAGTTGAACCAGTTGAGAAGCAGTTTAACCAGTTGAGAAGTAGTTGAACCATTTGAGAAGCAGTTTAACAAGTGAGTAGTAGTTGAACCAGTTAAGAAGTAGTTGAACCAGTTAAAAAGAAGTTGAATCAATTGAGAAGTAGTTGAACCAGTTGAGAAGTAGCTGAACCAGTTAAAAATAAGTTAAACAGTTGAGAAGTATTTGAACCAGTTAAAATGTAGTTGAACCAGTTAGGAATTAGTTGAACAAGTTAAAAAGTAGTTGAACCAGTTTAGAAGTAGTTGAACCAGTTGAAGAGTAGTTGAACAAGGTCAAAATAAGAAGAGAAAATATGTTCATTGTTTATGCTTAACATTAGCCTTTTTTTCACCATGCCAAATTGAACCCTGACTGAAAAAAAATGCAAAAACGATCCAAAAACGAATGTTGTGTTACTATCGTTTGTGGGTTGTATTTCCTTTTTTGGTTTAGGATCAAGTGTTGCAAAGTATACAGGTTTAACCCTTTACGTAGTCTACAGGCTGGGGGGTCTGAATCTTTGCACAGCCCCCCCCCCCCCAGAAAAGGCCTTATAGAGTAAATGTATAGGATTACAATTCATGTTTATAGCCCATTTTTATAAGGCCAGCTCATTAACCGCTAACTTTAATAGGAGGTTTGAAAAAAATGTCGGAAAAATATTAACAAATAATATTGACAAATATTAAAATGTGACACATGTTTTTACATCCATTTTTAAAGGGCTTTTAAAAAATGAAGTGATCTCTAGCTTTAATCGCAAATAAAACGAGCTATTTTTGAGTTTTTTTTAACACGGACCGCTTTTTACCTTCCTGTACCCTACCCTACACCCTATGAATAAAAAATGTACAAAAAATCCTTTAGATTACATTCCCTTAAAATTTAAAGAAATAAAAGTGTGAAAGTGTCAAAAATGAGAGAGCTTGGGAAAAAAATATAGGGGTTAAAATCTTGAAAGCTTTATATAACGTAAAAAAACAAATCAACACAACTAACATCACTAGCCGTACCTAGTTTAACTACCTCTCTCATTCATAAATCCCTAACTCTCAACATGTAAATATAACTGTGAGCCTAACACAGATCTAATTGTTTTATATCGAACTAAAAAGAAGAGAGAACTCAATGTCGTCTACAATATTCCATTTTTTATTACTTCTTTCTTCCAAATGTGCTCAATCAATAATATTTGGCAAAATTACGAATGTTTAAAATCAATGATTTTATAGAATTTACTTTATTTTTATTAAATCAAAATATGATAAGGACAATGAACAAGATTACCCACAAAGGATGATAATATTTTAGACAAACCAAATTTAACCAAATTCAGATCGTTGATTTTAAAACTTGTCAACCTTCAAGTTGGCATTCAAGACTCATCCTTTGTAGGTTTTCCTGTTTATTTAATTCATTTTTATATTTACTTAAAGAGAAACGTCCTATCATACAGTTATATTTAATTTGAAGATACGTAAGCCAGCTAGAATTTATTTTAATAAAATTAAAATTAAAAATTAAATGTTAAAAGATAATGAAGACGACATTTTCATGTTTTCCAGGAATGTTCAAAAATCCAGCGCCAACAAAATATTAGTTTTAAAAATCAGAAATATTGTGAAATATTAACTATATACAAATGCGTCGAAAAATTATCGATGACTAAATTGTTTGTAATATCTGAATGATTTGTTTGGAACTAAATTGATTTTTTTATGATCCGAGCCATTTCTGAATTTGTATGGACGCTACGTTCTTTCGTATGAGTCGTTTTTAACAATTTTCTCGTCATAGACGCAACAGATAGAAGGTAAGATTAGTAACGATCAAAAGTGCTTATGCTTATTTTTCGTTGTAAGTCTATACCCCCTTTCATTTTTTCGCGAACACTCCCTTTAAAATATAGTTTACTTGAAAAGAAACTGCGAAAGAGTGATGTTGTAGTTTACGTTCATACTGTCGGGGATCCAGTTGAACACAATCTAAAATTTTTTTTTTTTTTTATTGCAAAATGATGAAAATTTTGATTAATTTTCAGTTATACACACTCTGAAAGGAATTTAGTCTTTGCCACAAATTCTGATTTTTTAATCCACAAATATTTGCAACCTGATCTCGTACATTTCAGATTTTCAAATTATGAATTCTGTTATTTTAACGATTCATACTTTCAGGTTGCAAAGATATAGTAATTAGAAAATTCGATTTTGTTGCAACGATTCAATTTCTTTATACAGAAAAAATTTAAACATTAAAAAGTTCAAACAATTTTCTGTCCCATTTGTACGCCCTCTCACCACTCAGAAGATTCGGCAGCACCGTACATCAAGCATAAAATGTCAGCAAACACATAGTTTTAGAAAAACTCTCTCTATTTCTGAAATCAAAATAAAGTTGTCCGACCTGGTTGGATTGAAGACCAAAGGATTCAAATTTAACTTCACAAGTCTGGTCGTCAACTGGATAATATCTACAATAAAAGGTTTACAGGGACTGTCCTTGTTTGTTAAAGGGACCGTTCACTTACTTGGGTAATTTCAGGGTAAACTAAACAGCCTATTCGCTCTTGATTGGTAATAGTCTTACTTTTCAAAGACAACTGTGGCCGGAGAAAAAGCAGATTTTTCGGTCAGAATTTGAGCGGAAAGGGACGGTCCCTCTCTATAGACACTATTTGATGTTTTTTTTCAGTAACAGCAGCCCAATTTATTATATTTATTATTTAAATTTATTATATTTGAATGTCATTATGTGTTCGTTATTATGTACTAAAATATGAAAACTTTTGATATTTGAGTTTACATTTTTCGCATTAAAACATGTAAAATGTGATACAAAGACGACGTCTCTACGACAATCAATTAATCATTACTCGTATTTAGGTTCGTAGATTTTGTAAATTTTTTCCCGCATGTGCACAACTTTTCATTTGTCATGCCGCGTTCAATTCAGCTTTTTACACAGGCAATACACAATTTTGAATGCGATAAAATAGTGTTATTTTAGAAATAGAAAGTTAAAAAACAACAAAAATAAAAAAAATAATGACATTAACAATTAACGATTAGATACTACAGTTTAATTTTATATTCGAAATTTATTTTGATCCACAACATACTGAAAAAAAACATCAATTAGTGTCTATAGAGAGGGACCGTCCCTTTGCGCTCGAATTCTGAACGAAAAATCGGCTTTTTCTCCGGCCACAGTTGTCTTTGAAAAGTAAGACTATTACTAATCAATAGCGAATATGCTGTTTAGTTTACCCTGAAATTACCCAAGTAAGTGAACGGTCCCTTTAAAATGAGGGACATGTCCAATTTACAACGGTACCCTTGAAACCTTAATCTAATCAAATGTAGAAGATAGCATCGTTTTTTGACTTGAAAAGAATTTTATTTAAAAAATTTCTCAATTATTACTGACGGTCACTTTCGTGAATATACCACAAATGAAAATAATCAAAACATGGATCTTCTCAGCCAAAGCTTTGAAGGGTATCGGTGTGAATCAGACCAGGCACACTTGAACACTTGAAATTAAGTTTACAGTCTTTTTAAATACGTAAAAATTTCGGAAAGCGTTCCAGAAACCGAGCATTTTAGAATCTTTCTGGAAACAAATGTTCCCCCATTAAACCAGAAATGTCTGTAAGTCGTATTGAAAGGTAGTGAATGTATTGAATGTATTGAAAGGTAGTAAATGTATTGAATGTATTGAAAGGTAGTGAATGTATTGAATGTATTGAAAGGTAGTGAATGTATTGAATGTATTGAAAGGTAGTGAATGTATTGAATGTATTGAAAGGTAGTGAATGTATTGAATGTATTGAAAGGTATTGAATGTATTGAATGTATTGAAAGGTAGTGAATGTATTGAATGTATTGAAAGGTAGTGAATGTATTGAATGTATTGAAAGGTAGTGAATGATTTTGAAAACATTCCAGAAAATCTGGAATTCCGGATCTTTCTGGAATAAAACATTGTTTTACCAAGAAACCGGAAATGTCCAAAACCATTTCCCGGAATTTTGAATAGTAGGGAAAACTTCTGGAATATTGTTCCGAGGGATGAAATTAAAAGACTTGTTCAGGATTTGAACAACAAAATATCGTAGATGAACAAAAATATGATTATTTGACGGAAATGAGACAATCAAACACGATTTAATTATTAATAAAATTTGACCTGAAATCCATGTTACAAGCAACATCAAAATTTATCCTGAAATAAATGGAGTTGATTTTAACGAAAAGTACAATAATAAGTACAAAAATTTAATTTCTTTTCTTGCTTTTTTTTGGTATTAAAATATTTGTTAAACATAGCTCAACTGAGGTCGGATTTAATTAATTGGGAATTGTCTTTGCACTAACTACTGCTGGTTCAAATCCTGAATCCCTGATTTGAAGTTAAAAAAGTTGGTAATGAATTCGAAAATGATTCAGGAATTTAGAAAGCGGTATAGGATACAGGGTACAGTCCCACATCAAATTATGACCGCGTTAATGAGTCTAAATTACGATTTGGGGGACAAATAAGAAAATTTAAGAAGAATGAATGAATCATATTGAAAAATTTAATAAGGCTAATAGAATTTTTTTTTGCAGAAAAAGCTAGATTTTTCCAATTCATTCGGTCCCAGCCGTACATTTATTAGTTTCAAGCTTTATTGATTTCATAACATATCAAAATTCTAATTTGTTTTAACCTTATTCCTGCTGGGGGGGGGGGGGGGNTTTTTAAGTACCCCAGCAGGGATAGGGTTAAGTATCTAAATTTTGATATTTTACATCTAAAACAGATAGCTAGGGTTTCTAAAATTAGATTAAAGACCTGGCAGAATATCGAATAAGGCTGTCACTGTACACTCTGCTCATGGGAAACGAAGTTATTAATAATTAATAGTTTGGACCGGCGAGTGCAGCGGTTTTGACAAGGAAGGGGGGTCAATTGCTGCTAGTAGGACAAGCTTATACAGTTCATGTGCTGTGCTGATTGGACCGGAGAGTGCTGCGGTTTTGACAAGGTAGGGGGGCCAAGTGCTGCTAGTAGAACAATCTTATGCGGTTCATGTGCTGTGCTGATGGGACCGGAGAGTGCTGCGGTTTTGACAAGGTAGGGGGGCCAAGTGCTGCTAGTAGAACAATCTTATGCGGTTCATGTGCTGTGCTGGTTGGACAGGAGAGTGTTGCGGTTTTGACAAGGTAGGGGGGGCCAAGTGCTGCTAGTAGAGCAAGCTTATGCGGTTCATGTGCTGTACTGATTGAACAGACCAGAAACCAAGTGTTTTGTCTAAAAAAAAAGTCAAAAGCTAGGGGCCAATTGCTGCTGTTAGGACGAGGAAGGAAAATGGTAAGGGCCAGAGGCCTGGCTGTTGTTTTAGAATAGGCTAGATACCGAGCGCTTTGGACCAAAAGAACTACGACAGGCAGATGGAGAGGGTCAAATATATACTCTTACGTCTTTGTTACCTCGTAGCTCATTTAACTTCTAACTTATTGCAAATTTACTATACAACCAAATGATAAATATTTGAGATTGGTATAATCTGCACATTTTTGAAGGAAGAAAAACAACTATGCAGTTCTGTGTTTGATCACTCAGTATATTTTTCTCCGAAACAGTGAACATTGTTTTTAACCCCAAAGGCATTTGCAACCTGTCTGATGTAACATAACTAAGAGATTTTAAATTTTCAAATATCATAGATCTCAGGTTTCAAAGTCAAATAAATGGAAAATCAGAGTTTGTGGCGAGTTTTCAGTTCATGTATGCTTCCTCTCTATGACTGATATTCTGCTTTGTTCTCATGGAAAATGAGTTATTGCCACAAACTCAAATTTATTGGTCCCTACATCTTTACAACCTGATTGTGTATTTAATCTACAAAGAGAGCCAGAAAAATCTGAAATTGGAAGACGACTGTTAGACTCAAGGTATGACTTTAAATAGTCAAATAAGCATAGGACCCAGCAATTATGCAGTGTAAACAGACCCATCTTACTTTCTTAGTGATTTAATAAGTGTCAAGTAATAATGTTCGCTTTGTAACAACATCAATACACTTAAAAATTGCTATAAAGTCGTCTTCCTATTTCAGAGTTTTTAGTTATCACTGTAACAGACTTCATAGTAGACGACAAAAATATATGGATAAGAAAATAAGAGTTTGTGGCAAAGACTAAACTCCTTTAAATGATTTTGATTTTATAGAATATTCATATAAGAAAAAAAAAAATAACGCGTTTAACCATTTTTTCCTTTTGTGCGTGATAGATAGAAGTACAAAAAGATAGGTAATTTCGCGAACACTCCATTTAAATAATACAGTTTTGTAATAACTGTGTTCCTGAGTGAGGCAGGCTTCATAAAAAAGGTTGGTGTTCTCATATCCTTGGCAAGATCTAGAAACATACAGTCAGAACCAGAACACACCGGCTAATAGAAAGACGACATTTAAATAATGTTTTGTATTTAATGTTGTTACAAAGAAAATAGTTTTCCTAGTTTCTTTTAAATCGATTATAAAGTAAAATGGTCTGTACACGCTGCACAATTGCTGTGTCTTATGTACATTTAGATATATAAAACATAACATGAGTCTAAAAGGCGTCTTTCTATTCTAATGTGTTCTGGTTCAAACTGCAATAAAAATACAGAAACTGAACGTTCACCTTAAATTTATACCGAAATTTAAAACTTTCACAATTCAATCTACAAGAGACTTTATGGTTTTAAACATGTTTGAAACAACAAAAATATTAACCATCAGGCTGCGAAGATGTGGGTATTAGAAAAGTACAGTTAGTGTTCATGTCCTTTGTGTTTTCTGTCTGTTTGTTTGTTTGTTTGTATCCAGCAAACGTCAAAATGGCTGAATTCATGTCTAAAAGTTTTAATGGAATAAGGATATAACGTGATAAACAAACTTTCCCTCCTAAAAAAGGTTGTACTTATCCAAACAACAAAATTTTGAAAAATCTTTACTATTATTGGTTAAATTGAATAGAAAATTGGTAAAATTGTAATAAATAGGGTGTAAAAGAAATATAAGCGACTTTTTTTCGGAACACCCTGTTATACTGTTTTTATTTTAAAGCAGAAACTTGTAAAATCCTAGATACAAGTTTATTTAGATTAATTCCTTATCACGTTCTTAATTCAGAAAACAAAGAGAAAAATGTAGCATAAAATCATTAAAACAGGGATGATTTATATCTTTTACCCTGAACATAAATAAATCTAACTTTGATTTTAAAGCAATTATTTTTGGCAATAGCAAACGTATTCGTATTTTTAACTTATGAAGGACTAGGTACTAGGTAGCGTTGCCTGGACAAATAACTTTCTTTATAAAAACCCACTAAACTTAGAACTATTAAACTACAGGCCCTTCTCGTGGTTCTACCGACTTTACTAATCATGATGCAAATCTCGTGGTTCTACCGAGTTTACTAATCATGATGCGAATCTCGTGGTTCTACCGAGTTTACTAATCATGATGCGAATCTCGTGGTTCTACCGAGTTTACTAATCATGATGCGAATCCGTCAATGGGTTTCTGAATTATGATCGGACATTCAAACATTTAAACACACAGACTCACAGAGACGACTTCTTTATCCATTTATGTCACATGATTAAGCATGGAAGGTCCTTTTAAACTAACCCAATTATATTGAAGGTCCCTTTAAACTTACCCAATTATGTTGACAGTCCCTTTAAGCTTACCAATTATGTTGACAGTCCCTTTAAACATACCTAATTATGTTGACAGTTCCTTTAATCATACCTAATTATGTTGACAGTCCCTTTAAACATACCTAATTATGTTGACAGTCCCTTTAAACATACCCATTTATGTTGACAGTCTCTTTAAACTTACCTACAAATATATCTGGAATCCAAATACTGGAGGCAAGAGATGGATTTAGATTTGTATAGTTTCCATTTGTATCCCGGCTGGTCAGGTATTGGGCCTGAAATACAAACAATTATTTATTTAACAAATTAACTTTTATTGTTTACTTAAGATTGGATTTCCTGAATAAAACTAAAATACAGAATTATCCGCAAAGAAGGAGAATGAGACTATATTTTTTCATCCCAATATCGTGTACATTAGATATTTCCAACATTAAATCAAAGATAAACAAATCTAAGTTTGAAAAATCAAAGGTTTACACCATCAGGTTAAAAAGAAGTTATTAACAAATTTGAGTTTGTATCAAAGACTAAATTCCATAGGACTTTTGGAACATAGAAGAAAATTAATTTTTTTTTGTAAATTTTGCAAATATTATGATCAATAAAGAAACCTTGCAATCTTAGAATGCATGGAATATATATATATATTTAGATAAACTTTGTGACAAAGACTAAATTGTTTTTTTCTTTTTTTTACTAAATCTTATCAAAATTATTATTATTAACGTAAATCACAAAGGTTTTTCTTCCAAATATTCCTCATATACAGGGTTACACACAAAGCATAAGACTGTAAAGACGACACATAACTTAAAAAATATGGCGATGTGATTCTTGATTTTTGGTTTCTGCATCTAATTAAGTATTTTGATGGTTTACAAATTGAATAAGCAAAGAAAGAAGAGAAGTTTAGCCTACAAGAACCATGAATGCAAGAAAAGGGACTAAACAAACTCCCTGCAATTAATAAAATTGCATACTTCGCGGCCCTGTGGATAGGCCATACCTACTACCTAGGATATGGATATTGGAAATTGGATAGGTATTGTTTTTCAGTCTTTTTTTAAACACTCAAGGCCGACCTTTTTAGCTGTATAAATGCTCAACAAAAAAGTTTGAGTTATATCACATTGAAAATGATATTCGCACTAAGTTGGCTTTTATCATTTAAAAAAATATTTTCCTCTGACATAGAGAGATGTTAGATGATAGAGAGATGTTAGATGATAGAGAGATGTTAGATGATAGAGAGATGTTAGATGATAGAGAGATGTTAACCTAAATCAAAACTTTTTTTTCAAAACGATTTATCAATATTCTTTTAAACATCTCAAAGTAAAAATTTTGCAAAATGTATTAAAACCAAACTGATCAAGCAAATAATTTTGACACAGGTTTCACGTTTCAGATTTTTGCGATTTTATTTATAGATGATGATTAAATAAATCAACTATTTATGATTTAGAATAAAATACGATAAATATTTACCTTCGGTACTATACGGGGATCTCGCCACAAAAGCCTAAAAAGATATCTTTTAAAGGGGACTATCACCCATATTTCAAGATACCCCCGATACCCAATTTACAATGATGACAGTGGCACCCTTTACACCGTTGAATTTCAAATACCAAAGACGACCTTCAAGTTATTACTGTCAGGGACACCCTGTACCTTAAAGTAGTTTCCAGCGAGACCAACATCTTGACCTCCTCAACATCAAGAATATTTCTAAAATTATATTTCATGAAACCCGGCCTGGAATCTTCGAATATTTGATAATATTTCATTATTTCCCGCCTGGAATCTTCGAATATTTGATAATATTTCATTATTTCCCGCCTGGAATCTTCGAATATTTGATAATATTTCATTATATCCCGCCTGGAATCTTCGAATATTTGATAATATTTCATTATATCCCGCCTGGAATCTTCGAATATTTGATAATATTTCATTAAACCCCGCCTGGAATCTTCGAATATTTGGTAATATTTCATTAAACCCCGCCTGGAATCTTCAAATACTTGATAATATTTCATTATACCCCGCCTGGAATCTCCGAATACACAAAATTTGTCATTATACCCCGCCTGGAATCTCTGAATACACAATAATTTGTCATTATATCCCGCCTGGAATCTCTGAGTACACAATAATTTGTCATTATATCCCGCCTGGAATCTCCGAATGCGCAATAATTTGACATTATGCCCCGCCTGGAAGAATGAAGAATAATGACAATGTTCTTCGCTAACAGATTGCACAGTTTTGCGCGAAAATAGATATTGCTGAAAATGGAAAAATTGCACGATCGGTCGGAGAAAAAATTATATTTTTGAATAAACTTTAACCTGATATTAATGGAAGCAGATACAGCTAAAGGTTTTTTATCCCTAGTTGGTGGAATCTCATGAATATCTAGGGGGTCTAGTTTCTCCAACTATAATACATAATACAGTGGTAAACAGAAAACAGGAGAATATCTAGAGGGTCTAGTTTCTCCAACTATAATATATAATACAGTGGTAAACAGAATACAGGAGAATATCTAGAGGGTCTAGTTTCTCCAACTATAATACATAATACAGCGGTAAACAGAATACAGGAGAATATCTAGGGGGTCTAGTTTCTCCAACTATAATACATAGTACAGCGGTAAACAGAATACAGGAGAATATCTAGGGGGTCTAGTTTCTCCAACTATAATATAGAATACAGTGGTAAACAGAATACAGGAGAATATCTAGGGGGTCTAGTTTCTCCAACTATAATATATAATACAGTGGTAAACAGAATACAGGAGAATATCTAGAGGGTCTAGTTTCTCCAACTATAATATATAATACAGTGGTAAACAGAATACAGGAGAATATCTAGAATGTCTAGTTTCTCCAACTATAATATATAATACAGTGGTAAACAGAATACAGGAGAATATCTAGATAATACAGCGGTAAACAGAATACAGGAGAATATCTCGAGGGTCTAGTTTCTCCATCTATAATATATAATACAGTGGTAAACAAAGAACAAGAGAATATCTAGAGGGTCTAGTTTCTCCAACTATAATACATAATACAGTGGTAATCAGAAAACAGGAGAATAATTGTCGACTTTGTAATTTTTTTTTATTATCAAATGTCGCCATTGATTTTAAGTAATGTGTGATTGTTGTTCTTCCCTATCCGGCCTTGAATATTTTAGATACAAATAATCATTAAATATTTCTTAATTTAGTTATTTTTCTTAATTTGAAGCAAGAAGGACGCTGACACTCATCTCACCGTTGTCTAGATTCTACTGGGTTTAAAAGTGGTTTTTGACATATTTGAGAAATGTGCTCAATGATGAATTAAAAAAGAGTTGCCCGTCTTGACTTTCTTGATTTGAAGATTACTCCAGAAGAAAAATAAGTGAAAAACTAAGGCACATTAAGTGCAATGCACCGAACTGTGTCTTCACAAAAATACGCCTTTTACAACCAAAACAGATGGTTGGAAGTACTTGTTGCCTTAAGAGGAAAATGTTAACGAAAAAGATGAACAACGTACCCTTTAATACGTACGTACCCTTTAATACGTACGTACCCTTTAATACGTACGTACCCTTTAATACGTACGTACCCTTTAATTCTTTGTCAACAGAAACTTTTACAAATATCAACGTTTTTCTCACTTAACATTAATTATTGTGGTTTCTTTATGAAAGTGACTTGAAAGAGACAAATATTGTAATTTACAGAATATTTAAGAAAAAATACACGAGTTTTTGCTCACATAAAATCTAATAGATACCGTTGTGAATCAGTCTTGAGGGTTTAATAAAATAATTTCTCCCTAAACAGTACCTATTGAAATTTTCTTAGAATTTTCGATTTTTTTCAAGATTTTTTTTCAAGAACTAGGCTTTCCGGGCGTTTCGCGCACATCTTCTATTTCACTTTGAATACATTGTAAAACTAAAACAAACAAAAAATTTCGCGGATCTTAAATAAAACGTGGATTTTCAAAATTTTTAAATATCGAATTTTGTAAGAGGCAAATTTTTGAAAATTCGATCATCCATAAACCTTCCCTGGGGTCATGTTAGGTCCCACACAAAATTTGGGCCCGATCGGTTCAGCCGTTTTGACAGTTATTGGATACAAACGGACAAACAGACAGACAAAAAGACATGCAAAGTATATATATATAGATGTTACCTGATAGGTTGCTAGCTCTTTGCATACTCCTAGGTGAAGGTTTAGATAAACCCACAACAAAGGAAGTGTCAACCACATTTTTGGAGTTAAACTCTGAAAGTTTACGATTTATGAAAACCTTTTTTTTTAAATTAAATCTTTTATTTGATTTTAATCAAATTATGTTGTAACTTGTAAGTAACATTTGGATTAAAAACAAATATATATTTAATAATAAATCTAATTATATAATATATAATTAAAAGATAATTAAATATGTAATTATAATAAATATAATTAAAATTTAATTCTAAAACTCTTCATTACAATCAATAGATTGCATTCACCATAACTTTCTAATACTTTTATCTTTGCAATCTGAAGTGGTAAACCTTTGATGTTTCAAATTTTGAATCCTGTCAGATCAAATGGACAATTTGATTTGAAATATATCTATGGTTAAGGAGATGTAAAGTGTAGCAAAAAGTAAATAAAGAAAAACATGAAACTTTTATGGGTACCATTGTAAATCTGACATTGCTGTTTTTGCATGGTGGGTCAAGCTGACAGTCCCTTTAAATAATTTAAAATTTTTCAATGATTTTTTATCCCAAATTTTGGCTAAAACCTTTCCATTTATTTCATGAAATGAGTGAATATGTCAATATGAAAAAACAAACGTGCAACAAATATGCTACATGCTATATGAGAATAGTCAATATCATTCTGAATGCATGCAATGTACACTATGCAAATACCATTTTATTTTGATACTTGTTTATATATTAACTATAGAAAATTATATATCTGATGAGAGTTTACAAAATTTGCGCGTTGCGTAGATGTATTTAAATTGATAGTTTAGGATCAAATCAATACATAGAGGAAAATGCCATAGTTAAACATATCTAAAAATTGATGCAGATAAAAGATATTGTTGTGATTCTAAGTTGAACGGTGTTTAATTGTGAATTATTCTTATATATGTTTTCTTCATTATATAGATCCATACATGACTGAGTAGGCTTTGGAGTGTCACAATGCCTTGGACTTTAGTTCTACTATTTCACTTAGACTTGTTTTTTTTCGCCACAGACATGATTTCAGAACTTAAAAGCTTTATAGCTATAGCTATTAAGTATAAGTAATTGTCAACATTCTCATAGATTTTTGTTTAGTAGATTGAAACCTTTAAATCACTGTGGTAGTAGAAATAAACAGATCACTGCTGAAGATAAACATATTAATTGAAAATAATCAGTTTTCAACAATATGAAGGATCTCTTGAAATTACACTTACAGTTCTCACTGCTGAAGACACAAAATTTCAACTAATTTCAAAATTATTTGTTGCACTGCCGCCTGTAGTTCCTCTACCTAGGCTGGTTTTCAGGCGCTAGGGTCTACTATTCAGGCAGTAAAACTATGCACCACCCACGGTCCTTCCGTTCTATACTTAGAAGTATTGTCAATATATATATACTCTAAACTGCTCAGTGTGCCACAGTACAATGACCTGAGGCATTAAAAAGCTCATCCTAGAGTAGGGAGGGTATAGAGGTACAGAGGTACCCACAACGAATGAAACTATAGAGACGACTGATTTAGGTCTTTCTGTTTATTAATGGCTCTCTACAGATAAAAACTAACTTTTAGTTTCGTATAAAATCAAGAATTGAATTTTTACCAAAACTCTGAGTTTCTTTATCTTTGATATAAAATTCTAAAGGATAAAGTAATCTAAATTTGAAATATCAAAGCTTTACACCATCAGGTTGTAAAGATATAGGGATAAGAAAATATTTGAATTTGTCATATATATTTATATATATAGAGAGTCGAGAGAGACTTTCAGGTCGTCATTAAAGACTTATTATTAGTTGATAACAACCACGCTTAAAGATGTCATCATCATTATAAAAAATTAAAAATCAGGAATAATTAAATGTTTTTCTTTCAAAACAGGGTTTCCATTTTCAAATAAAAAGAGAATAAAAATATCCTTAAATTAATCACTTTTATTGTGTGTAGAAAATGAGGATTGAAAATATTTCATTCATCGCAACTTTTCCAAGTTTAGAATTGGAATATTTCATTTATTGCAACTTTTCCAAGTTTAGAATTGGAATATTTCATTTATTGCAACTTTTCCAAGTTTACTATTGGAATATTTCATTTATTGCAACTTTTCCAAGTTAACTATTGGAATATTTCATTTATCGCAACTTTTCCAAGTTTACTATTGGAATATTTCATTTATCGCAACTTTTCCAAGTTTACAATTGGAATATTTCATTTATCGCAAATTTTCCAAGTTTACTATTGGAATATTTCATTTATCGCAAATTTTCCAAGTTTACTATTGGAATATTTCATTTATCGCAAATTTTCCAAGTTTACAATTGGAATATTTCATTTATCGCAAATTTTCCAAGTTTACAATTGGAATATTTCAACTTTTCACGTGTCCTTCATATAGTTGAACCATGAATCTACAGCTATACAAATACACAATAGCTGCGAACCCGCCTTTCTTGTACCAATTTTAGTTTTTAATTGTGCTTAACTACAAACCATTTTTATTTGTAAATAGAAAGAAAAACAGAAATTCTAAATATCACAAGCAAATATAAATACAGATTAAAGATACATGTATAGCAATGCGCATAAAATTCTTAAGAAACTACTACTTTTTTATATTTTATATATTTTAATTTTGCCAATTTTCATTTTCAATTATGAAATTCCATTAACAGCTCTTTGTTTACTTGTAAACTTGAGAAGCTTGGTAGAAATCAAAACTTAAATATAAAAAAGTCGTCTTCATTGTATTGATACCGACGCCGACCAGTGTTTTCAAACTCTCGAAAGGTTCTGTCTCTTAATCATCCTTTCAGGAGAAAGGATGATAAAGAGAGACTTGGGTTTCTACTTTTTTTTTTCGTAGAACTAGAAAATAGCTAAATAAATTACTCAATCGGAAATAACAAAAGTTCAATGGAGTCGGTTCATTTAAAGAGGTACAATTCATCTGCAGAGGCTAAATTCTATATGTTTAATGACCGTGTTGGGGGAGGGGTAGAGTCTCGCAGCCCCCCCTCCCCGTTTAAAACCACTGCTCAAGTCAGGTTAAATTATGCAGTAGAAATATAAGTCGTCNCCCCCCTCACGGCCTCCATTCCACTAGTGGGTTGGGTCTACTAGTCTCGAAGCTACTGCTTGTGAACGGTTGGCATAGAAAATAACAAATATATCTATATTTGTAAATATATTCATTGTTAAAAACTAGAATTCTTTTTTCAAACAATGTTTACAATTTTAGTTGAATAAATGTGACTGAGAAAGGAAAATTATAGCTGAACTTAAAGTCGAAGCTGAAAACCTGAAAAATGTTAAAACATGTTTTAGGCCTATTTGTGGCTACTGCACTGGTTAGTAATAAACTCAATTTATTAAATATGTAATTTATAAAATTATTCTTTTATGAGCTCAGTTTCTCTTATATAGAAAAGATATCATATTTGTACATCCTATTGTCACTCGCCTTTATCAAAAATCTATCTTTTATCCCTATATCTTTGCAACTCAATGTCGTACACCTTAGATATTTCAGATTATATTTTCTGATTTAAGTTCGAAAGATTAAAAGTTTACACCATCAGGTTTTAAAGATAAAGGTATTAAAAAATTTGATTTTGTTCATAGGACTTTTGGAACATGGCAGAAAATTTTTTATTTTTTTATTTTGCAAATACTATGATCAATTAAGTAACCTGATCCTTCCATATATTTCCAAATTTGCACGCAAAAAGAGTTTACATTTCATGTACAAATCAAAACGGATTAAAATTGCACACACAAATCGACATGCAAATGAAATTAGGAAAGAAACGGTTTTTTTTTGTAAAAATTCTAATGCGCAAGATTATGTACAATTCTTTTTTTGCAACAATTACGGCAATTTCACGCAAGCCAGAAGCAAATTCTGAATTGCTGTCAGTAGGACCCTAGACAGAGGGAACCAAACTTTAGTATTTGTTTAGCTCATGAGTTTTTACAAGGTTACCCAGAAAGAATGAGACTTCAGAGAGGATTCTACGGAATTTTCACCTGCTGTTTTCTTATATTCATGATTCCCTGCAACTGTAAACTTGTTTCTTTACATATTTTAACCAAAGGATCGTCCCATTTTAAGAGTTTCCGGTCGTCTTTATACATTCTCGTCCTGTACGACTGAAATTCAAATCCTAATTCTTTTCTTATTTAGGAATGTGTGTATGAGATTAAATGTGGATTTGTCCCCTCCGCCCTCCTGGTCGAGGGCAATAATGATCTACATGAGGGATTTCCAAGGGAGAAAAGAGAAATTCAGGTAAAAAAATCAGAAAATAAATCTTGAAAATGGTTAATATTTGAGGAAAAAGGATATCATTATTTATTACCTATAATCTATAGTCGGATGTCCATTTTGCTAGTAGACAAGTAGTAACCAAGTAGTAGACAAGTAGTAGACAAGTAGTAGACAAGTAGTAGCCAACAGAGTATAAAGTGAAGGAAATTCTCAATTTGTTAAAAAAAAAATGGTCTTCAGAATAATATTATGCTTGTATTCTTCAAACTTTATCACTTTTAAATTCCAATTTATTTGTAGAACTCCAGCAGCCACAGTGAGCACACTGAGCCTCCTGATGTTAAACCTTTTAACGGATATGTCGAGGGACCCCATCCAATAGTTTCAGGTCGAAAAAGAATTAAGTTTATGCAACTAACTTAAATTTTCTAGTCCCCATATCTTTGCAACCGGATGGTTTGAACCTTTGGTATTTTAAGCTTAAATTGTTCGATCTCACAAAATTAAAAGTTTGAAATACCTATGGTCTACGACATTAGGTTGCAAAGATCTAGAAATTTGAAAATCAGTTTTTGTGCAAAAAAAAAAATAATAAATGTATTTGAAGATAGTTGGATTACTTCTCTAGCGTGTCTAGTGATGTCCCTTAAAGGGAGTGTGCGCAAAAAATGAAAGGGGGTATGGGCTTAGGGCAAAAAATATTCGCTTATGATTGCCACTAATCTTACTTCTATCTGCTGCGTTTATAAGGAGAAAATTGTTAAAAACGTTTTAAAATGAAAAAGTAGCGTCCATGCAAGTTCAGAAAGTTGCAATATACGACTCGGATCGTAAACAAATCAATCTAATTTCGAAGAAATCATTCAGACATTAAGACATTAAAACCTATAGTCATCGATTATTTGATCGACGCATTCGTTTATTGTTGATATTTCATAATATTTGTTATTTGTTTTACATACAACTTAAAACGAAATTTGTCCACTAAAAAATCAAAGGATTTTCAGCCAATTCGGACCAGCCGTTTGGCCAGCTATAGTTATCATAAAGGGTGTCCCATGAAACATGACAATAGCAAGGCGTCTTGAAGGTCGTCTTTGATCTTTGAAATACTTTATGTCTTTAAGTCATATAACAAATTTTGGAATTAACATTCTATAGTTGAAAGGCACAAAATACCCCCAGTCATAACATTTCCAAAATGTAGTTTGCCTTTTTTGAGCTTTCATATTATCTCCAGTAATATTGACAACACAAAAAAAACAGACCACATTTTGTAAATTCCAGGACCAGGAGAATTTTGCGGATATTGTTTATTTATGTCAAAGTGGGTTGACCAACGAAAAACACAAATAAATTAGAATTCAAAGACGACTTTCAAATCGTCTTGCTATTGTAATGTTTCGTGGTACATCCTGTTGTTGACTTTAAAAGTCACTATAATAAAATAAAAGAGATCTAAATGGATATTTCTAACATTTATTTAAAAAACGAGAGTTTTGAAATATTTGCATTTAAAGCGGAGTTAAAATTGGTTGATTTAGAAATTAACAAAGGAATTAATGATGGATATTAGATAGCGGAAACTTCGGTCAGAGCCGTGCACAAGTTTCCTAAGTAAGCTTCTCAAGAAGTTAATAGGGAGATCAGAGGTATAAGCACGCCTGCTGTTAGTTCAGGATCTGCATCATCAGCCTGAAGGAGTCATGGGGGGTGATGTAGAGCTTCATGTTGGTGGGGCAGATCAACAGGTGCGTTGCGCTGAGTATCTGCATCATCATCATGAAGGAGCCAGGGTTGAGATGGAGTTGTGAATGTCTTGAGTGTTTATAGCTAACTGAATACCGGGAGGTGTAGAGAGGTGAGGAGCGAAGGTTACATGTGTGGTATGCTTCATGGCGGAAATGGATCCTGTGTACACACACATCTAGAGAATTAACATCGGCATTTGAGTCGGTGAAATCGTCTTTCTTACATTTCGAATTTATGTTAACACCTGTATGTACAAAGATACAAATATGAGCAAAGGGCTTAATTATAATTATATAGAGATGCATTTTAGACTCGTTGTTCTCTCTGATAATCTTTATCTACGTGGCGATCACATTCGGATATATGTTCTACGCATTCTGCTGGAGATCAGAGGAAAGCAAGCCCGAGCCACCGTCAGACAAGGTGAGGGAGAAAATCCACCAAATTATAAATAGAAATCCTGAAACGGATTGTTTACTTTTTTTAAATACTTTCAAAATTTTTGGAATTAAGAGCAAAACTCAGCCAATCTTACATCAGAGTGGCATGATGGCATCAGAATAGATCCAGGGGCGGCTTTATATATTTTTCAAAGAAGGAAGGAATCATTGAACTAGTGCGCACTAAACCTGACCCTCATCCAATTTTATGAAGGTATTATTTATGCCATTCTTATGTTAAAACCCTGACATGGTTAGAGGACGGGGAGTGCTCCGGAAGAAAATTAAATTAGTAAATTTATAGTTAAATGGTGGCGTCACAGGGATTCTTAATTTTATACAGTTAAAGTCATTAATATGAATACATCGGAAGAATTTTTATAATGTCGTCTTTATCAAAAATTTATAGAGGAAGTTTTGTGTTGAATATTTTGAATGCTTTGTCTCGATATTCGTAGATGGAGATACATTTTTAATTCCGAAATTCAAAATACAAAAGTTCTGGCTTATGGAGTCAGACAAGTCATGGGAATTTTGAAATGAGAAATTCATTTCACTTAACACTGTAACACATATATCGAAAAGATTGGCTTAGTTGCCCTAATTATTCCAAGAATTTAAGTTGTATGTATATATTTAAGTAGGCGAATTGGCCCTTCAAAGATATAGGTCGCCAATTTAGGATTCTAAAGGGATTAAGGTCTTTTATAAGTATGAATCAGAAAATAATGTTTCATGTTAAAGGCCGATTATTCTCAAATAATTCAAGTTTGGAAACCATTTTGAAATAGATAAACGCCTAATGGGACCGGCATTGTATGGTAGTTGAACTGAGAATATAGTATTGTGGAGAAATTTCTTAGGATTCATTTGAGACATACAAAACGTTTTAATGGTGTTTATTGTATAATTAATGAGTCGACGTTCAAAATCATCCATGTGGGTGGTTACGTTTTCGAGAATCGATTTTTTTAAATCATTAAATTATACGACAGCAAAAAATGTGTCAAAAATCTACAGTAAACTAGTTAAATGTTAAGGAACATATTTCTCAATAGAAATTTGTCAATACTTATCAATGTTAGAATCAATTATTACTTTTACATCATTATATTGAATTTCTTAGTCTTTACGAATTTGTTCGCAGATTTCTACAAATTCTTCAAATGTCGTCTTTTCAATAAAAATTCCAGAAAATCACGAAAGATTACAGAAGCTAATACTTGAATAAGAATACTTATTTTCGATGACAAGATGTAATTTTTATTTTCTCAACCTATTCCTAAACAACTAATTAGTTTACTGTAGAATTTGTGTAACATTTTTTTGTCGTCGTTATTTAATAATTTTTCAAAATATCGATTCTCCTCAAAACGCAACCACCCAAATGGATGACTTTGAAACTCAGTAATTATACATCATTAAAACGTTTTATATATTTTGCAAATGAACTCTAAAATATTTCTCCACAATACATTCTCAGTTCAATTACATACATTGCAGGTCACTCCCTTTAAATGTATATTAATAATAGTTAAAAAATGTACGATTAGTTTAAAAGTTTTAAAATTTTTCAGATAAAATCTTTTTTTTTTTGTTAATTTTAAGCATCACATTAATAATAGGTTTGGTACACATATGACACAAATGGTAGCAATGAATCACTAAAAAAGTGAAAAAGTAAAAGTAGGTAATTTCTAGTAATGTATAAAACAAGTTCACTTTTTCACTTTGAATTTTCATCACTAATCACTTTTTTTAAATAAGGCTTTTAAATAAAATTTTATTTAATTGCAATCTACTATGCGTAGATTTATATTTAACACTTTTTTCTTCACTTGCACGTTTTTAAATTTAATTCAAGTTATATAGGGCACATCACTTTCTTGGGATAAAGGGGAAACTTTTTTTTCGTTTAAACGACTTAAAAAAAATTTTCGGAGATTTTTTTTCAAATTTTCATTTTATCTTCCTGAAATTTCTGGTTACGCAATTTCAAGTGACTTGGGTTTATAGACTTGAACGCCTAATTCACAACAGTACCTTTTCAATCTTTATCTGATCGTTGATTCATTTTCTTTAGTTTTCTCTCGCATTATTTTTAATTCTGGTTTCGTTATACAAACATTGATCATTTAAGAAAATACCAATTTAGAAGCATTCTCATTGTTACAGCACGCTTAAAGGGTATCGTTGTGAATTATATGCCACTCTAAAAGTTAGGGTCACTTGAAACTCCGTAGCAGTCTTTTTAAGCTTAGCTCATTCTCATTCAAAAGTTCAGAAGTCACATCACTCTGATTATTAAACATTTTTATAATAATATATTCCTTTTGTTTAAGAATCTGCCAATGATCACGGAAATGCTGAACGAAGTTGAAAATCAAACAAAAGAAGAAAATGCTGTTTAAAATTAAAATTAAGCACACATACTGATACATCCAGAACTTTTTAGAGCACATATAGTACAGTACAGTACAGTACAGTACATTAAAGTACAGTACAGTACAGTACGGTACAGTCTAGTACAGTACAGTCCAGTACAGTACAACCAGTACAGTACATTAAAAGTACAGTACAGTACAGTACAGTACAGTACATTACAGTACATTACAGTACAGTACAGTAAAGTACAGTACAGTACAGTACATTAAAGTACAGTACAGTTCAGTCCAGTACAGTGCAGTACAGTACAGTCCAGTACAGTACAGTCCAATACAGTACAGTCCAGCACAGTACAGTCCAGTACAGTGCAGTACAGTCCAGTACAGTACAGTCCAGTACAGTAAAATCCAGTACAGTACATTAAAAAGTACAGTACAGTACAGTACAGTACAGTACAGTACAGTAAAGTACATTAAAGTACAGTACAGTCCAGTACAGTACAATATAGTTCAGTACAGTACAGTCCAGTACAGTACAGTTCAGTACATTACAGTCCAGTACAGTACAGTCCAGTACAGTACAGTCCAGTACAGTACAGTCTAGCACAGAACATTAAAAAGTACAGTAAAGTACAGTCCAGTACAGTACAATACAGTACAGTGCAATACAGTAGAGTAAAGTACATTAAAATACAGTACAGTGCAGTGCAGTGCAGAATAGTACAGTACTGTAAATTACATTACAGTACTGTAAAGTACATTACAGTACTGTAAAGTACATTACAGTACTGTAAAGTACATTACAGTACTGTAAAGTGCATTACAGTACTGTAAAGTACATTACAGTACAGTCCAGTACAGTACAATACATTACAGAACAGTACAGTACAGTAAATTTCAGTACAGTACAGTATAATACATTACAGTACAGTACAGTCCAGTGCAGTACAGTATAGGACAGTACAGTACAGAACAGTACAGCAAATTACAATACAGTACAGTACAGCTCAGTACAGTACAGCACAGTACAATACTGTACAGTATAGTAAAGTTACAGTACAGTATAGTAAAGTGCAATAGAGTACAGTACAGCAAAGTACAGTACAGTACAGTACAGTAAATTATAGTAAAGTGTACACAGTAAATACATTTAGTTATGTACAGTATAGTACATCTCAGTACAGTATAAAACAGTATTGCACAGATAGTATATAAAAGTATATTTAAAGTGCAGTACAGTAAATTGTTCAGTATATTTTATTGTTTAGTTCAGTACAGTGCATGCATCCATTACATCCATTACAACATTGTAAAGTAAAGCAGAGACAGAACGTTTTCTGTTTAGTAACAAGTAGTTCTCAATTAGCTTTTCCGCTTAAAGGACATCAAATCCCCTAATTAATAAACTGACATTTTAAAGAAAAATTAAGTATTAAGCAAGAGGACGGAATTTTTTTTCAAATTATCATTCAACTTTTTATGAACTTTATAATTAAGAATTTTAAACTTCGTACTTAAAAATTGGCAACCCTGACAAACGTTTAATAATAATCAATTTTATATTAATTTTATCGAGCAAAAATTTCGAAATGCAGATATGATTGCTGAAAGCATATCTGTTAGAAACGCAATTACTAGAAAATTAATACTTAATGACACCAAGTAAGTCATTATTTTAAGACGCATCTCACAAAATGTTTCACAGTTTCTTGTGCAATATATAATATAATAAATAATATACAGCTATAAAATATCTGGCGTTCCATTTCTAGAAAATGCGTAGCTAGTAAACATATGTCAGATCTTTTTAGTAAAACTTAATTTTCAAATCTAGCTGAAAACTCTGCTATGAGAGTAGGGTTTCCAGCGAACAAAAACTTTCGCGAAAAAATGCAATATTTCGCAAAAAATTTGCTTTCTTATTTCGCAAACCTTTCCGCGAAATTTCACATTTCTTCGCGAAAATGAAATTTGTAAAAGGAAGCTCAAACGATGCGAAATTTCTCTTTTTTCGCGAATATTTTTTCGCTAAAAAGAGAAAACTTTCGCTTTTTTCTACAAACGAAATGCGAAAATAAAACTCGATTTCCCCATTTCGCTGGAAACTTTAAATAATTTTCCATCATTTTAAAAAGCATTTCGCCCCCGCTTGTTATTTATATAAAATGCACAGAACAGGATTACAAGCTTGCTGCATTTAATAAGTTTAGAGAGTGAGAAAACAATTTTTGATTTTATTACTATTTTATTACTATTGCCTTCTTTAAATGTTTTATGATTGTTACTCTAAAACCAACGCATCGCTCAAAGTATGTTTAAAAATGAATTATTTTATGATGCACAATTTTTGAAAATATATTTATCAATAAACATTAAAAATCAGATTTTTTCCTTTTTGTAGATTTTTTTTTGCTCGACACTGCAACAGAATTTAAGCGATTTATGACTTTTTTAGTTTTAGGTTTTAGCTTCTTTGGTGGTTTTATTTTTAGCTTGATCTTCTTTTGGCTCTCTTGGCTAATAAGAAACTTGTAATTTTTAACCAACTTCGTAAATTCAGGTCACCCCCCCCATTTAAAAAAGAAAGTGGTATGTCTGTCTCACAATGGTAGCCTTTATAATATATCTTTGCTTGATCAAGAGTGAATGAAATCCTAACATTTTAGCTCAAACTTTTAAGATATTTAAACATTTGAGTCGCAGCTATTTTTTCAAAGGTTTACTTAGCGCTGGTAGAATACTAATTGGTCTGTAGTTATTAAATTTATCTTTTTGTTAAGTTTTAAAGATAGGAATTTTCAAACGAAGAGTATTGATAAAGAGGGGAATGTATAGATTTACTAAGGAGAGTAATACTTTTTAAGATAGAAAACGTCGATTAAGGTACCGTTGTGATTCTGACATACCACTCACTTAACAGAGATTGGCAGGTATCTTAAAAATACAGCCTCTTCTACATATACATTTTGCATGTTTGTTAGTATGCAACAAACTTCAAAACGACTGAAACGATCTCAATTTTTTGTGGGACCTCACGTAAACCCAGGGAAGGTTTATAGATGATTGAATTTTCAAAAATTCAATTTTTGAAAATGTTGAAAATCCACGACATTTTTTTTATAAAATCTGCGAAATTGTTTGTTTGGTTTTGCTTTACAATATTTATAAAAAGAGAAAATGTTCGCAATTAAAATAATAAAACTAGCCTTAAAAGCCTAATTATAAATAAAAGATTTCTTTTAAAAAGAATGATTTCAAGTTTCTTTCCTCGATTTCATCACACCAGTTTTATTCTCATCTAAAAAAATATTTTTAGAATTTATAAAATTTTTTTTTATTTAAAATTTTTACCTTGGTAAAGAATATCAACGACAGGAATCTTATTTACAACCTTAAACACAAAAATGGAATTTTCTAATTATTATATAATTGTTTAAAAAAATTGCAATGATTTAAAATTTTTAATTGGATTTTGTTGGGATTACTAGAAATTATTGGAATGTATCAGTAAGACTTTAGAATTAATGGTAAACAAACATAAAAAAAAATTGATCGCTAAGAAAATAAATTTGTTAAAAAATTCTATTCTTACCTCCTCTGGAGCAATAAAGTGCTCATCTACAGGGCCTCCTAAACAGATTATCGCGCATGTAAGATGGGTAATAATCTCTGTTTGTTTGTTTGTATGTATGATCATAGCTCCGGAACTCCTTGAACAATTTGTCTCAAATTTAGATTTGGCGATGGTTTACACGCAATATGTTCAAGATATAGCGATTCGAAAATTTGGGTTTGTGACAAAGATTCAATTCGTTAATTTGTGGAAGAGAAGAAGTATCGAAGCACCCTAATTTTCTTGACTATTGTTCAGTGTAAAAAGACCCATTTCACTAAATTAGTGATTTTTTAAGTATTGCTATAAAATCGTCTTTCTATTTTAGGGTTTTCTAGTTATCATTGTTGGGACAAATTTTATTATTTGGGTGCATTTTTTCTGGTCATTGCTGGTATGCATTGCTTACCATTATGCCGAGCTGGGAATTGAACAAGTGGAGCAGATTCATACATCTTAAATATAAACTATTAAATTCATCAATTATCAACCATTAGTTTCATCTTTATTATACAGGGTGGCACAATCAATTATCAACCATTAGTTTCATCTTTATTATACAGGGTGGCATAATCAATTATAAACCATTATTTCCATCTTTATTATACAGGGTGGCACAATCAATTATAAACCATTATTTCCATCTTTATTATACAGGGTGGCATAATCAATTATAAACCATTATTTCCATTTTTATTATACAGGGTGGCACAATCAATTACATATCATTATTTTCATCTTTATTTTACAGGGTGTCACAATCAAATATAAACCATTATGTTCATTTTTTTATTAAACAGGGTGTCTAAATGAACATTACAGTTAAAAGACGTATTAAAGATAGTGTTTGACCTGTGTAAAGCTATCAATAAAGGGAAAACAATCAAGTTTTAATCTTATATTTCCATAATGTGATGTGACTACTGAAAAGTTGTTGTCTTTAAAAAGCTATCAAAGATCAAAGACGCCGCAATTTATTTGTTTCTCAACTGCAATGTTTAGTGCAGACACCTAGTATGAATTTACAACAGACGGATTACGGATGTCCAATCGAATTCAGTTGCGTGGAATTGCACGCAACTGTGAGGAATTGCTCACAACTGTTCTCATATTGGATGGAATCGCGCAAAATTTCAAGGAAATTACAGAGCCCACCATTCAAAAAATCCACTTGCGTTGGAACCCCTAGAAAATATACAGAATCAATTTGAGTCTTAGCAACAATCTCTGATTTTACAATCCCACTCTCTTTACACCATCAGGTTAAAAAGGTATAGGGATTAGAAAATCAGAATTTGTGACAAAAACTCAATTCCTTTGTCCAACTGTCAAAATTAGGATTCCCGATAAAAAAGTAAATTGTAGATCATGACGTTTTAATAAAAAGTTGTGGATTATTTAAAACTCTTTTTTTCTAGAAAGACGATTATGAATAAAAAATTATTTTTAGTGGGATTTTCCTCATTTCTTGACCTACCCCTTCAAACCATCTCTTGACCTACCCCTTCAAACCATCTGTAGACGGTCCCAAGCCCAAAAGTAGATTTATATTTCAGATTGATTTATCATTAAATGTTTTGAGATGTAGTCCACCTTTCTATATCTAACTTGGCTTTTAGGGCGCTTCTCGCCCTTCTTCTTTTTTTAGCTTTTGATTGTGCAACTCTACTGTGAGCATCTTCTCTTTGTAAAAAAAGTTCGCAGATTAGATAATAATATTTTTCAAAAATCGAAGACTTTTTGACACAATTTTTTATATTTTTGAGCATCCATAAACCTTCACAAAATTTGGACCCGATTTGTATAGTCGTTTTAACGTTTATTGGATACAAACAAACAGACAGACACCCAGACAAGCAAAGTATAAAATGCTCGACATCAATAAATAAAATAAAACTAGTTTACCAGTACCTTGTAAATTAACCTTCTAACTGAATCGAATCTTTGAATAGTTAAGATAAACTGCACAATTGCGGCGTTTTATGTTTACCATTCAAAATTAAAATTTGAGTCTAACGGTCGTCTTCCTTTTCTACAGTTGTATTGGTCCCATGGTAGGAATAATATGATGAAATAATAATCACGATAAATTAAACAAAAAATACAATTTCTGAAATAAAACTGAAGATTATAAATCACCTCAAAGTATGGATCATCCCTCTTGAGATTAAATGAAAAAACAATTGTTATTTGGAAGACGACATGCAGTATTATCACAAGCATGTTATCCTGTGTTCATTTTAATTTTTTTCTGAATAAAATTTTAAAATAAAAGGAAATGCGCCAAATATTTTTAGTTCTTTGTATTCGGACATTTTGACGGATACTTTAAAAATAATAATATTAATAGTTAAAAGATGTTAATCTTCACTGCATATTTAAAGTACACAGTATGATTGATTAAAAAGAATAAAATGCCAGTTTAAAGAAAAAAATGCTCACTTAAAGGGACTGTAAAGGAAAAATGAAAGGGGGTATAGGCTGAAACCTCAATTGATCGAGACCCATAAGAGTTCTATTGATATTCCTATGTTCCTGTCTTGAGTAATTGATACAAAACTGAGTCAAATTTATACAAAAATTCGGTATATACCAAATGTTGTATAAAAATGTAGGTTTAAATAGATCATATTCAGCAAATACGCAACCAATCTGAAAACGATGATATCCCAGAGGAGCCTATTATTATTTGAATTTAATAATTTTTCATTTTTAATAGATTTAATTAATAATTATTATTCATAATTATATAAAGGATTATTTATATATCCGTATCACGTGACCAGAACTCCCACCAATGGCTGTGAAGTATACTTGTCACATGATACAGACGGAGACATGTGACAATTGCAGTGCAGTATTTTTGTCATGTGTCTCCGTAAACTACACAATAAACTAATTAGATGTTTAGGAACAAATTTCTCAATTGAAATTTTTCTATAAAGCAATGTTTACAGAATCAATTATTTCTTTTTCATTATCATATTGAACTTCTTATTCTTATTATTATTTGTTCTCAGATTTCTTTAAATTCTTCAAATATTGTCTTTTCAATAAAAATTTCAGCAAATCTACAGAAAATGTTTGTGAACAATTAAACATTTCAAAAACCAATAACTTAATAAGATTACTTATTTTCGATGATAATAGTTAATTTCTATTTTCTCAATTTGAATCTTCATGACAGATATAATCTCAAGAACTGACAAGGATCAACTCGAACCCAGACCGAAATATATGTGGAACTAAAATTTCCTTTTTTACTCTACAGAGGTTTGATCTATCTCCATATCACCGAAATTTAAAATTTTCTCAACCAGTGCCTAAATTACTGTAGAATTTTTATTACATTTTTCGTCTTCGTTATTGAAGAATTTTTTAAAAACCGATTCTCAAAATCATCCCTCAAAAAGGAACAATTTATGAATATTTTAAAGATTGAATTTGGGCTCTTGCTGAACAAATATGCACCATAAAAACGTCTCATAGGTCTCAAATGATTTCTAAAAAATTATCAATAATACTGCATTCTCAGTTCAACTACCATACATTGCCGGTCACTCCCTTTAAAAGTGTTTCATTCTGATAAATCATATAGATTTTCTTCACAAGCCATAATTGAAGAGAATCCACAAATAAAAATATTCAGTTTTTAAAATTATAAACATTGATATATAATTCATATTTGATTAGACAACGCTTTTATGTGAATAGTGAACAGTGAAAAGTGAATAGTGAATAGTGAATAGTGAATAGTGAATAGTGAATCGTGAAAAGTGAATAGTGAAAAGTGAATAGACCATTGCCATCTTTGTAGATAAGGTCACTTGAATTTGGATAACAGGTTTAAGCCATCAAGGTTTTATAGTTATAACAATAACAAAAAAATATATATTCATTGTAACGTTTTTGTTTAAAGAATTTCGACTGTATTAAACAACAATTGTCTGACTAATTAAAGAAAATATTAAAATCCTAAAACATCTGTTAACATTAACAATGCTTAAAAACCATCAGCTGACAATATACAGCTGATTCAGACTAGAAGAACCTGGATAAGTAAATTTTTGAATTGACCCACTTTTAAAGAAATCTATATACAGTCAAAATTAATCCAGGGCAAAAAATTATTAGAATAAAGATTTTTAGCAAAAGACTAAAATTTTTCTTTTGAAAAATCATCTATGGAATATTTTTCCACGTCTCTGTAAAGCTTCAATTTATACAGAATTCAAATCTCTACGTGCAATTTAAGTAATTAACTTTTTCGTAACAAATATATCATTCCAATTAATTTTGAGTATTGTCGACAACGGTTTACATTGTACTTTCCAGATTATTTAGTTAGTTTATTTGAATGGTTTTATTGTAAATTGTTTATTGCGCCCATCTTTAACTTTTAATTGTTGCTCTGTTATCGTTTTTTCGTGGATTTAAAAAAAATTGAAATCTAAGCCTCAATAACCTTAGCCAGAATAATGTGAGGCCCCATAAAAAATACCGAGCATTCCAAGCGTACTCTTCCAGTGGTGCCGGGACAACGGAGCTAAACAATCTTTATGATATAAATACTTCGAGATATATATAATTCGAGATTTAAGCCGGCACTCAATTGGAACCGGTTTTTGGCGGTTCAGAGACGGGCTTTAAAATTCTTTGAATTCCGCCTCACAATTCGAAAAGTGCAATAATAGACAGGAATACATTTTGTAAAGATACTTAACTATAATCTACCGGCGACAAAATTAACCTTTTATTATTATTACTTGAAGGGAAAGTGAGTTGGCCTAAATACCATAAAAGGGCGTATACAGAAATAACTCTGGGGGGGAGGCAAAATTAGCGCGAAGCGCAAAAAAATATTTTGCCCACCCCCAAAGAGCTCCTATGGGGGGGGGGGCAGAAACTGTAAATTCAAAACATTTGGCTTCTTGGATATCAGGCATAAGTATAGTTATTTTAAAGGTACACATACAGTCCAATTACCTTTCATGTACTATGCTTTACCACTCCTTCAAACAAAACTAGCAGAAAAAAAACCATTGTCTCTAAAAACTCGACATTCTATTATACTGTTATGTTAGTAATAATTAGTATTTAAACTAGAGATGGTACAAGACATTTTTGAAAATGAAAAACTCAACTTAAATTCTATGAGATGAAAAAAAGGTCCAGAAAATAATTATTACTTTTAAAAGTTTCTGTTTTGAAAAAAAGTAGGAGTACAATTGAAACTGTAAACTGTAAACTGTAAACTGTAAACTGTAAACTGTAAACTGTAAACTGTAAACTGTTGTAAAATCTATTTAAGGCGATTTACAGCCTATTTAAAGAGAATATAAGACAGCAAATTGTAAGCATGAAAGACAATATTAAATATGTATTTCAATGGTTTCAATCTAAAAATATCTAAAATTAGTTTATGTTACAGAGAATATAGTTACTAAGATTGAAAGATAAATGTATAAATAAGTTAATAAGAAACGTACTTTTACTGCACTATCTCTTGGTTTAATTGAGGATGGATACAAATCTCATCTCTGGATATCGGACTCTGGACTCTCGCCTCTAGACACTCGACACTGGACTCACGCCTCTGGACTCGGGACTTGGTGTAGACTCTTTGTACTACTGTCATCTGGACTCTGGACACTGGACTCGGGACTCTGGACTTTGGACTCTCGACACGGGTCTCTCTGGGATATTTAACCCATCTCCAGTGATGGTTAGCTCCATACTGATCAAACTACTTGCGTACACTAAGATAGTAATGTACACAAGAGTACTGTACAGTTAATGTGTCACTACACATGTACCGGATACAGCTGGTAAGAAAGCTAAAGGGGGGGGGACAATCTGTAGATTTAATATTTGTAGGATTAACAAGTTATCTTCAGATTACACCAACCACAGGTTTTACA